AAAATATGAGATCTGGTAAAAAAAATATTTTTTAAAACTGCTTATTGTGTCTTTTGTTGTTTCATGGAAGGTAATCACCCGAATCGGATGAGATTTGCATTTTCCATTAGCTTATTTTAGGTGCCTGATATATAACCAATGAATAATATAGGTGGACACAGACTGGTCGAGTAGGCATATTGAATAGGGTCAAGAAAATGTGACCCTCTGGCTTTATAGTAAAGGTTTTCATTTTGGAATGATGTGAAAAGCAACATAGGGAAAACTTGGGAAGGTCATCAAGAGAAATTCTAGAAAGAAGAGAAACAAAGAGAGGGAGAGAGAAACAGAGAGAGAGAGAGGGAGAGAAAAGAGAAATAGAAAGAGAGAGAGAAAAGAGAAAGGAGAAAGAGAGAGGGAGAAAAGAGAGAGACAAAGAAAGAGGAAAAGTGAAAACGTGAAAGAGAAAGAAAAGAGAGAGAAAAGAGATAGAAAAAAGAGAAAGACGAAAAGAAAAAGAAACGGGAGAAAGTGGAAGAGAGAGAGAGAGAGAGAGAGAGAGAGAGAGAGAGAGAGGAAAGAAAACTTTAGAGAGAAAAGCTTTTCTTCTTCTTTGGCTAAGAAAAATAAACATAGACTAAGTCATTATTAATTATGGAATTAAAATCCTGTTATGACGCAATAATAATTAGAGAATATATTTATGTCCATTGTTGTGCATACAAAGCAAACGCTCCGAAAGTAATGCCTTTCATTTATTTCCCCGGAAGCTACAACGGCACTGTCAGATAGAATAAGTTTTCAGATAGAAACCCCCTTTTTTTACAGTCACCAGCACCCAACTAATTTCATGCATTTTCGCCAGTACATGAACAAGAACCTGTCACACATACATTCGCTTCCATCTCCATTTTACTCAAACGTATTACCTGACTGTGTTCCCATCCAGTGTTTAGTTTCTGTAAATGTTCAACAAGAGTTAATAAATATCAATAGTGGCATTGTTTCCTGCAATAGCATACCCATGCTTAACATGAACTTTAATGTCAGACGTCATTTTGCCTGACAGCCACCCAGGCCAAAAATATGGCTTATTGGCTGGAAGGTTCAAACTACTACCCATCTTCAACATTTTGTAGTTCTACATAACATGATGAGAGGCATTAATCTATAAGCGAGTCCATCACACACACACACACACACACACACACACACACACACACACACACACACACACACACACACAAACGCGCGCACGAGCACACATAGACACACGCACGCATGCACACACACATGATTGGAAGTTTTTTTCTTTTTGTACTAAATTATCAAGAAAGAGCAAATACGTTTCCCAGTTATTTACATTATTCTGACTGTTATCCTCATCTTCATTGCCATATTCACAAAAATATTCAGACTGAATAATGTAAATAATGTAAATAATCATAATACCCCATTTCAGAGATATAAACAGGCATTTCCCAGTGTCACCACTCGAAAAGTGACAAAGGTCAGACCGCTACATGGGTTTTACGCTACCGTAATCGTTAGCCGACCAGAATGGTTTACAATACATACATACATACATACATACAGATAGATAGATAGATAGATAGATAGATAGATAGATAGATAGATAGATAGATAGATATATGTAGGCACGAAAAGCAGTTTTTACTACTTAAATTACTTAAGAAGCAAAGACTAATAAACGAAGACCTTGTAAAATATCACCGTGATAAATGCGAATACATACACAATATCGAACACAGATAATGTAACATATTTTATACAAAGGCGATACTTTAAACTAACTAAATAATATAACCAACCTGGAAAAAATAAACAAAAAAAAAATCTAAATAAATAAATAAAAAGCAAATTAACAAACTCCGAATGCACCCAAAATCACCAAGTAAATAAACTATAAAATAGATACACGTAAATGTAATCTCATTCGGATTCGCAACGATTCCTACACAATAGCGTTTATCATAATTTGAAGCAAAACCCAATAAACGTTAGGATAATACAATAGACCTTATTCTTCCCATAATGCACCATAGAAAAGCATATATATATATATATATATATAATCGGGCCAATCGTGAGAACAACAAATTTTCTGCAAAGTCGCTGCAAATTCTCTTTAAGGCAAATGTTATTAAAGACTTACTCAGGTCACTACACTCACCAGTCTCTTCAATAACAGGCTTAGAGTCTATGTAGAGATATAAAGAGTGTGAATATATTGAAATCAAATCTGTATGATGACTATCAGATTCACACCTTAAGCGATCGTAAGTTAATTTATATTCGCACTGTTTCTATCTATCTATCTATCTATCTATCTATCTATCTATCTATCTACTTTGTCCAGGAAGCACAGACTTTGCTGTCGGAACTCAACAGATTGCAAATAAATAATTTTTAAAAAGTCAAAGAAAGGTTTTTGAGAATTGTTGTGTTAGATTAAGTAATCATCGGACGATAGATTCTGTATATATGTACACAGATCCATCCACCCGTCTCCCATCTACCCATGCCTCTCTCTCTCTCTCTCTCTCTATATATATATATATATATATATATATATATATATATATGGTACATGATTGATGTGAAATATATCAAAATGAAATATGTGAAAACCAGCTGGATGTTGATTTTTCTTTTATTTACGAGTGGCGTTTCGTTATTTTATGTGAGCATTTCCAAAACACAGCTGACAACATTAAGGATAGGTCGTTACTATGACAACCTCGCTGCATAATATTGCCATGGTAATGACTTTTCCTTAAAGTTTTCAGTTGTAATTTGCAAATAAATTTATGTCACATGTAAATCTAAAATCTAAACAACCAAATGATTTTTGCATATTTCATTTTTTATATACATATATTCTTTCGTTTTCTCTATCACCGTGAATGGCCAGTTTTTCAGTTCTGTCAAAAAGGCAGAAAATGAAATGTTGATTGAAATGTTTTAAAGTAGGCAAACAGTTGTTTTTGCTTAGAATATTGGGACGACACGTGTACTGAACATAATTCGGACACATCCATTTACAGATCTATGAATTATTGATACCTTGAGATGTTTCTCGCTGTGCAATGACAATTACTTTTTCTTTTTCTTTTTTAACCAGTGGATGTGTAAAACCGATACTTTGGATGTCCTTAAAAAAGCATAGCAGATGTCAGAGGACAATTATCAACTATAAAATATAGACTCGCTATTAAGCGACTATGACAAATCTAAAAGCAGCCCCGGTCATCAACCTGCACACACACACACACACACACACACACACACACACACACATGATACAGTATTATATGGGTGCACCTCTAGAACTCTAGATGACCAGATATTGGCTGTTGATCTGTGCTCTTATCAAGCTCTGACAGCTCAGTGGGAGAAAAATCAGCCGGTTAAATTCAATGATTCGATAAACCAAACCATAATCGCCGATCGGACCTTGAACTGTCACCAATCACCATGAATGGATGTACCCACCCCTGGAGAGACACCATGCCTTGAACGTCTATTGGACCTTAAACTCAAATCGAGGTCGTACATACCATCCATCGTTAAATATGCTGGAAAGATGGTCGTTTCCCTGTATGGATCCACTAAGTATCTGGCACCTCGATCTATCCTCTACCTTTATAATAGCCAGATTAAGCCTAAAATAGAGTACTGCTTCCATATAAGGACAGGAGCTGCATAGTCTTCACAGCTCGATAGAGTTCAAATGCGTCTCCGCGTCCATATGGCTGATAAATTATTTTCTACCCTACAGCCCCTTTCTTACAGACGAAACGTCGCAAGCTTTTCACTGCTCTATCGCTATATTCATGGAAAGTGATCAAACGAACTACATTTCTTAATTTTCCCATTTCTAATCTTCACGGTTAAGACCCGCCATGCTACACTCATTGTAGCAAACTAGCCTCATTTCCTTCGTATTTAATTTGTGAGATCGAAGTCCCACTCAGGCAGAAGCTTTTCACGAATCGCTGCTCTATGGGACCGACTCCCAAAAGGGTGTTTTCCCGATTACTACAATCTTAACCTATTCTACAATTAATCATTATCTTCCTCACACATCGGCATCAATTCTACCTATTACTGTAAACCCCTCTACCACCAGTGGTTCCAGGGCATTGTATAAGATTAACATCACTGTAGTGTAATATATATATATATATATATATATATATATATATATATATATATATATATATATATATATATATATATATGTATAGCTAGGGATAAGCATAATTTATATGGCATTTTAATGTATATTTTAAAAGCTAAAAAAAAAAAAAAAAACAACCGGTTTCGTCCCAGCCTTATCAAGTTTATTTCTGGGATATAAAAAATAAACGTGTAAATTTAATTGATATTAATGATAACCAATGGTGGAGGAAAAATATGAATTTCATGAAAGCTAGAGTCCAATAACATTCAGACCCAGTAAGCATTCCCTCTGTTTACAGAGGGAAGGCCCACGGGATCTGATATACAAGGACTCTAGAAACTTGAGATGATATGAGGAGTGGGACCTCACTAAAATAGAAAAACGGTCCACCCTAAAATCAAAGACACAATTCATACTATTTATAAGATGCTCTGCAATAGAAGAGCCAGAAGTATTGGTTAGTTGACTTTTCCTGGCATTCAGATTCAAAATCATGGGTGGGGGGTGTAAGTGTTACTTTATTCTCAGATCAAAACGTTAAGACGTCCTCCCTATGTAGTCGACGCAAATAAACTGGACATTTTTTTAACAAAATGCGGCTTAACCTTATGAAATTTATTGATGACATCATAGGTAGCAGAATCCAAAACATCTAAAGGATATCCATTTTTAGAAAGTATCATCTTAATAAAATCAATTTCACCGCAGAGAAAGCTATCAGAACAAATCATAAGTGCCCTATAAATTAGGGCCTTAATTAAATTAACTTTTCGTTGTCTCGGACAAGAAGAGTCTCAGCGTGTATAAAGTCCCGAAAAACTATGCTTAGCCGAGGTATTTCGTCCTCTGAGGTACTTTATTAAGGCAATGTAGGGTTTATTTTGTTGCACGTGTTTAGATACAAAAGCGAGGATGCCAATGGTTTATCAAAGCTTTTAAATTTGAGAACGTTTATGAATATTCATCAGGTGGTTGAAAAGTCTGTCAAAGAACATGTAGAGAGCACAAAGTGTCATAGTTCAAAGTCTGGTGTAAAAAGTAAACGAGTAATATTCAAGAAATATATATATATATATAATGAATATTGTTTAAATTGTGATTAGATTCAATATTTATTTTAAAAAAATAGTATTTATGACACTTTGTGCCCTCGGCACGTTTCGACTAACCTTTCAACCAACTGATGAATAACAATGAACGTTCTCAAATTTAAAAGCCCTGATGAACCAATGACATCCTAGCTTTTGTATATAAACACATGCAACTAAATAAATTCTACGTTGCTTTGATACATTATGCTAGAGGACGAAAGGCATCGCCTAAGAATATATATATATATATATATATATATATGTAAAAAAATTTTCATACCTGAATGGATGTTTTATCTATCTATCTATCTATCTATCTATCTATCTATCTCATAGACCTGTATTTCCATCAGTAATATATTAAAATCGTCGTTCATTGGGTGATCAACTTTTGTGGCCTTGTGCCAGATATTATTTTTAAATTGGGCTTTATCGAGAAAATTTGTCAAATAACGTTGGAAGCATTTTCGTCAAATCTATTTATCTACCTTCATACACGTTTGTTCGATTAAACCAAGTAAGGCACACGTTTTTCACTAAATGAGCGCTTTGTCAACATCTGTCTCACTTTCAGTGACTTGCGTACATCGGCCAATACCAATACCCAATCACGATTGCTTGACAAATTCTCAACGAAAAATAACCATCATACTTTTTAAAAAATTTGTTCAGCATTCTTTTAGATTTAGTTTCATCTCTCCATTTGTTTGACATCTGACTGCAACCATTATTGAACCTGTCTCGTATGTTGTTCAATGGCCTCAAGCGAACATTTAAATTGCTTTTAAAAATTTACCAAGTTTAAACAAAAATTCTCAAGATTAATTTACCCGCTGAATTCTTCGGCGAAATGAATGCAAGACAATTAAATATATATACCAGCGCGTTTACACCTACACACACACACATGCAGGCGCGCGCATATATATATATATATATATATATGTATTATTTACACTATTTATATTCAGATGATTGTCTTTATCTTTGTTATTGTAATCCCAACGTTTCGGCCGTTATGCCTTCTTCAGGTGTATACTGATTTGGATAACCAACAGGGAATTCTGAACTGAAACCTTTATTTAATCTATGGAGTAGACTGTTCTTGTTCCACAGCTCATACCTCGGAATATATAATAATAAGAACTAGACGATACATTTGTCATTGCATTTGGCTTCCCCAAAACGAAATTCCTTTTTAATTTGGGAATCCACTTGCATTGTTGTAATGGCTTTTCGTAGCCTAATGTTAAAATGTGCCTGTAATTAATGAGATTTTTCAGATTAAAAAAAGGAAAGCAATCGGGTGGCATTTTTCTTTAGTAAGACTTAAGAATCTAAATTTAAGAATCTCTCTTCAGCCAGATAAACTAAAGATTTGTGGATTTCGAAGGAGAATGCTGGACAATCTCTCAACGGATGATATGGCGCGAGTAAGCAATGAGGAAAAAGCAAAAAAAAAAAAAAAAGAAAAAAAGAAAAAAAAGATAATCAAGAAGAGAAATTCGTGTTGAATAAATAATGGGGAAGGAGGGCTTGGAAAACTTAACCCTCACAAGACATATTGAGGATAGGGAAAGGCGGCGAGCTTGAGTGAATGAATGGTGCAACAAGAGGTGGAGGGAGGAATGCTAAGGACTGCAAGGGATAGGAAGTTTTGAAGAGCCATGATCGCCCGTCGTGTCCTGAAGGGACGCGTCATATAGAAAATACATGTTATATCACTTTCGAGAATAATAACAATAATATCTATCTATCTATCTATCTATCTATCTATCTATCTATCTATCTAACGTACAAGCACATAAATAAGTACACACTTACATCTTACGACAATCGTTGAGACATTATTGTTTTACAAACATGTTCAAAACACAAGTTGCCATAGTTACCACTGCTGCTGCTGCTTACAACAAGCTTATTCTTTGAGCGCAGGACGGAAGCCTTATCAGGTGTTTGATTTTCTACCCCCAGTGACAAATCGATAAGTCATCCTTACATTTTCAATTTTAGTGAATTTTGTGGATAAAGAACATTTGTAGTTTTCAAGTTACGTATTGAGTTTCTAAAATCAGTGATAGCCACGATTTGCTTCGGTGCCAGTGGTCAGTGTTCGAGCTTAGGTTAATCCTCATTTCGAAATCTGTATTTCAGAGCGGGAATTCCTCGCTTGAAAAAGATTAACAAAATAAAATTACCCGAATAACAAAGTGGCTAAAAATA